TACTCTCAGGTAAAAACAAAGTCGAACACACCGGGACTCAACCCGACGCACGCATAAACAGTACGACGACGCGTAAAGTTCTCCAAAAAATACACAATGATACAACGGGTCACTATTTCAACTTTGCTCGAAATAACACCCCTACGGCCAACGGGAATCGCCAAAAGAAAGATTCGACCTCGCTCGAAGTACAACGGGTTACTATTTCTACCTTGCTCAAAATAACACCCCTATGGCCAACGGCCATCGCTGAAAGAAAGGTTCGACCTCGCTCGAATTACAATGGATTACTATTTCGACTTCGCTTGAAATAACATCCCTACGGCCAACGGCCATCGCCAGAAGAAAGATTCGACCTCTCTCGAATTACAGCGGGTTACTATTTCGACCTTGCTCGAAATAACACCCCTACGGCCAACGTCCATCGCCAAAAGAAAGATTCGACCTCGCTCGAAGTACAAAGGGTTACTATTTCTACCTTGCTCGAAATAACACCCATATGGCCAACGACCATTGCCAAAAGAAAGGTTCGACCCCGCTCGAATTACAACGGGTTACTATTTCAACCCGCTCGAAATAACACCCCTACGGCCAACAACCATCGCCAAAAGAAAGGTTCGACCTCGCTCGAATTACAACGGGTTACTATTTCGACCTTGCTCGAAATAACACCCCTACGGCCAACGGCCATTGCCAAAAGAAAGATTCGACCTCGCTCGAAGTACAAAGGGTTACTATTTCTACCTTGCTCGAAATAAGACCCCTATGGCCAACGGCCATCGCCAAAAGAAAGATTCGACCTCGCTCGAATTACAACGGGTTACTATTTCGACCCCGCTCGAAATATCACCCCTATGGCCAACGGCCATCGCAAAAAGAAAGGTTCGACCTCGCTCGAATTACAACAGTTACTATTTCGACCTCGCTCGAAATAACACCCCTACGACGAATGGCCATCGCCAAAAGAAAGATTCGACCTCGCTCGAATTACAACGAGTTACTATTTCGACCTTGCTCGAAATAACACCCCTACGACCAACGACCATCGCCAAAAGAAAGATTCGACCTCGCTCGAATTACAACAGGTTACTATTTCAACCTTGCTCGAAATAACACCCCTACAGCCCACGGCCATCGCCTAAAGAAAGGTTCGACCTCGGTCGAATTACAATGGGTTACTATTTCGACCTTGCTCAAAATAACACCCATACGGCCCACGGCCATCACCTAAAGAAAGATTCGACCTCGCTCGAATTTCAAAAGGTTACCATTTCGACCTTGCTCAAAATAACACGCCTACGGCCAACGACCATCGCCAAAAGAAAAGTTCGACTTCGCTCGAATTATAACGGGTTATAATTCCGACCTTGCTCGAATTAACACCTTTACGGCCATCGGCTGTCGTCGAAAGAAAGAAAAAGTTCGAACTCGTCCAAATGTCGGAAGTTGACTCTGCCCAAAACGACGATTCCAAGTTCGAACTTGTCCAAATGTCAGAAATTGACTTCGCCCAAAACGGCGACTTCAAGTTCGAACTCATCCGAATATAAGTCAGAGCTTGAACTCGCCCTTGGCAATCTCGCCCGAACTGACGAGCCAGAAGCCAATCTCGCCCTAATCGGCGAAAACCAAAATTACTTCATTCAGGCTCGTACAATGGTATGCTACCCGATCAACACAAGGTTGGCTTCCCAATTAAAAAAGGTCAGGGACTCCCCACAAAGAAATTCGAAGGCCTACGCCAAAGGGAGAAATACGGCAAACAAGAAGAATAGAAAAAGAAAATCAAATAACACGCGAACAGAGGCAAAGCAACAATTTTATTTAAACACACGTACGCAACAGCCGCACCTTACAAAAAGTCGAAACAGGACCCCCAAAAAAAGGAAGAAAGAAGCAAAAAAAATGAAACTATGAAAGCTGCAACAACTTTTCATTCGGTGTCATCACCGCCGTCCTCCCCATCATTGTCTTCAGGTAACCCATCCTCAACATTAGCATCCTCGCCAACCTCCAGTGTCGTAGGGTCGTAGCCGCAATTGGCACGAGCCTCGCGTGCCTTCGGCCGGGCTTCTTCAAAGGCATCCTCAGAAACGCTACCCACCTCCCATAAACCCTTGTATATATCTTGTTGGGCCTCGGCATGGACCCACAGCTCACACAAGTGGCGAGGAGCAGCGGCAGAGGTAGATTCAACCCGAGCCAATAATTGCACCTTCTCGGCCTCGAGTTTCACGACCCGGTCTCTTAGGCTAGAGGCCTCCCGGTCAATTTCACCAATACGCTCCTCGAGTCGCGCCTCCCTAAACGTGGCCGTTGCCCTTTCGGATTCCTGCTCAGACTGGAGGACACGGATAGTGTCCTCCAACGCCGTCGCTCTTGCCAAAGACGACGCCTAAGCGTTCTCGACATTTTCCAGCTCGGCCACTTTTCTCTCCAGCTCGGCCAAATTCCCCATCCATTCTGCACTCAAAGCTTCAACTCTGACGGCATTCTGCTGAAGATCAGCTTGCAACGACCGCACCTCCGCCTGAAGATGCTCACACTCCGCAGCGACCCCCTTTCCCAACTCAAGCTCTTTGTCCTTGGCACGAAGCAGCTCCTCGAGCTCACTACATCTGCGAATAGACTACATCAGCTCCTGATCCCTTTTCTCCAACTCATCCCCGATGGATTGGGAGCTAGTACACGCCTTAAGCCGCTCATGCATCTCACGACATTTGTTGCGATACCGCCAATACTTTTCAAGCATCGTTAGAAAAATCTTGGCCCGAGTCTCGGCCATGCGAGCACTCTTGATCTCCAGCATGTACGACTAAAAACAAAGAGAAGAAAAGAGTCGATAAAGGCCAAGGTCACAAAAAAAAAAGGAAAGAACAAAGAGAGAAGAAAGACATACAAAGAGGAACTTACCGTTAAGCCCATCGCGGCCACACCACGTGACAACTCGGCATCGCTGATGTCCTGAAGAGCTTCACTTTCTGCGGCAAAGCACAAAAGGTGAAACTGCGGCACAAAATCCACCGTGTCTTGCAAAAGGTTAAGGTTCGACGAAATTTCGAGTATTCGGGAAGGACCTCCCGCTCTCACTATAGTTCGGGTAGAGCCCTCCTCGAATATCCTAACGTCATCAGGATCGAGGTCAGATTCAGACTCGTAATCATCAACCATGACGCCTTTCCCCCTCTCTTCGACCGAAGAAGAAATGCGGTTCGGCCGGGATGTCGAAGGGCCGCCCGAGACAGCAATGGTAGCCTCGGGACTCCGTCTCTCCACCACAACAGCCTGTTGACCACTCATAACAGGCGTAGCCACTGCGTTCGGGTCGGCACCACCATCGATTTCGGGCATCGCCGGAGAAAAGTTGCCCCTCGAAGATGTTTCGGCTTGAGGAGCCACTTCCAACACCACTCGTCGTCTCTTCGACGGGGCCTCTCCACTACCAGCATGAGAAGACTCGCCCGTTGAGCAGACAATAGGAACCGGAGTCTCCGGTTGAGGAGTAGCCTCCACGCACAAGGCTCCGGCTGCAGGCACAGATTGGGTAGTAGCTCTCAATGTGGGACGAAGGGCGGCCCTCGGCGCAGGCTGGGCAGGGGCCGCCTGTCAACGGAATGCGAGCAGAGGAGCCCTCATCCTTCGCACTCTCCCTGTCAACAAAGAAAAACGATCACACAACGACAAGGTCAAAACATGAGGTAAAGAAAGAAAGAAAAATTGCAGCGGGCGGATTCACCGGTGAGAGGCTTGTGCCCATACTTCTCATGGAAGGACGCCCATTCACGAATCCTTGCTGTATGGGGAAGAATTGCGCCCACCCACTTACGAATATCGTCGGCTAGCGGGGGAGGTAGTCTCTTGGCTGCAAAGGCAAATATAAGTCCCTAGCAATATCACGTGATGAAGAACGATCGACGACCGCCTTAAGAGAAATCACAAAATAAATAAAGGAGAACTCACAAGCGAAGTTCCACGTCTCTGGGAACCCTGCCGAATCCGCCACAAGGTGCTCTGTCCGAACATAGAAGTAGCTTTCCCAGAAGCAGCGATTGGCCTTATCGTCCATCTTCACCACTAAACTCTTGGTTCCTCGATGGCGCATATGGATCATTGAACCCTGAAGAAAATGAGGGGCAAAGATGTGAAGCACGTGCCTCAGAGAGATTCCTCGTCCAGCAAGCTCCGGGTACTTGATAAGCATGAGGAAGAACTTGTATACGTATGGAGAAAGCTGGGCCGGGCACACTTCGTAGAAGTGGCAGAAATCTACCAACAGAGAGGGCAGAGAGAGCGTGTACTCGACAACAAAGAGGTACGCGTAAATTGCGCATTATCCCGGGCGGTGCAGATGTACAATGTCCACCCCCGCTGCCAGTACCATTTCGATTTGAGCAGGGATTCCCCACTTGGCCTTGAGAGCCATAATCGCCGCTTCATCCATAGTGGAAGGGACATGATCCGATTCGTCTCCCGCAGGACTGTTAAAATATGTCCTCATCTTATCCGGGCGGGGAACTATCTCTTCCACCGTCGGGAACCCCTCATCTTTCTCCGCCTCCGTTCCCTCTTCAAGGAGGGGCACGTTATTTTTCGGTACCGGAGCTTCGACAAATTTGTCAGTCTGAGACGAAGTAACAGCCATTGGTTTGCCTTGATCGAAATAAACAGGAATGATGGGTGAAAAGGGAGGATGACCCCGTAGAATTTTGACGAAAGCATGAGTATGAAAGATTGAAAAATGTAGGAGTTTGTAAAATTCCTAGGCAAATCGAAAAATATAACACCCAAATGAAGGATTCCCTCTACTTATAGGAACGTCAATGTCCTGAGCGGGAAACCCAAGAGCCACCAATCAAAAAACTGAAAGGGCAAGGGACATGATACGGTGCCTGGGAAACGTGCGCCATGATGATGCATAATGTGTATTTATGATATCATAACTTGATGCAACAGTTCGACTCTGAGCTGACGTAACGGTCTAATGAGATTCATGAAGCGTCATGTCGCTACCTCGCCCTGAGGACCCCATTCCGCGCATGATGTTCAGATTTTTCCTAACTTTTGAATCAACAGAATTCGCCCGTCGAATTCACCGAAGGGCGACCCCGACGGGTGGAGGGACTAACTGTACGGGTCAAAATCTGACCACAAGATGGTTCTCTAAAAAGAACGACAAGGGGTCGACCAAATCGCACTCGTACCCACGAGGCGTGGTAGCAGGCAATCACCTCGGCCACTGTCGAGATCGAGCCGTCAGAAGGCCTGCGCGACAACGCATACGTAGCACTACCCGGGCAATCGAGAAAGAGTGTATTCATGAGAAAGTCCGTTGGATAAAGGGGGAATTGACATCCTATTGAGATGGCGGAGGAAGGATAAGAAGTGGGGGCATCCTAAGAGAGAGAGATCAACAGCCCAGATTTCGGTTGCAACTTCTTGTAATCATCACCGCTAAATCAACAAGGAGAGATCGCCTAGCTATCAACAACTTCCCCTCTATTCTTTCTTTGCTATTACAAGTATGATATAAATGCTTCAAAGATGTAAGCTTGTTATTTACACTCGATGCTTGTTAATCATTTCATAGAATCTTATATAAACTTGATCTCCTTCGACTGTGATATTCAGCGGGTTTGGATTTTGAGTCAATTATATTTGGCTGAGATTTACCTTTTTATCCTGTATCCCATCATTAATTAATTTAGCTAAAAGGTTTAACATCTTTTTATCGAACAGTAAGTAAATGATAAGACTTGTTATCACACAATTTTGAGGTTGAAAGTTTAACTCTCACCAACAATTTTTCTTTTTCAAATATAATATTTTTGTTAGTGTCAATCAATCATCAATCAACTACACCTCCATCAAAAATCAGTAGGGATTGATTATATAAATATTCTAATACATTCGCTTTATTTAAATTTATTTTACTTTAAATACTAAATAATTTACCTGTGTTCTTTAAATCGCATACATATTCTTGCAATGAGAACATTTTAATTCCAACTGGTTGTGATCATCTATACGAGCCATTTACGTCCATATTGTTCTGTTTCTAACTAAGCTAGTATAGGTTTGGAATTTTTTTGTTTATTTCAATTTTTAGCTTTTATTTTGTCTGTCACCTTTATGAACATGTTATCACACTCAAAATCTGAGGGCAATCAAAGAATTTGTTGGTAAGATAATTCGAGCTCATGCCACGTATCTTGTCAATTACCGTTATTGGAAACTCGAGTTCTGGGGATTCGCCGTTTCACATTTTTCAATCATAGAGTAACATACGATTTTGAGGAAGGATCAAGTTCACTCCCATCATAACACGTGTCATGCATCATAAGCTTCAATGATTTTGCAAAGAAACCATAAATTTAATCAAGTGGTTTCAAAGTTAAATTATAGAATGATCAATGTGAGCTGAAAAATGAATACAAGATACATTTCGGCTTTAAGTTTACGTGAAATTAAAACTTTGTACATTAAAATTCAAGGATCTCGATGATAGTGCTTAAATTAACGTTATTTAAGAAAAAAATGAAAATAAATTAATTATTTTTTCCATTTACTTTTTAAAAAAATTTAGCTGTAGCTCTAATGACCAATGAAATTATTTGTTGTCTTATTCCAAAGTATAATCATCAAATCAAATGTTGAAAGAGGAAAGCTGATTAAATTTCAGCTTAGATTGAAAATATCAGGCGAGACAATTGGTTTCAAAAAATTAAAAGAGGAAATGCGAATTTTGAAAGACTACAGACTGGTAAATCACAACTATAAGTCATTTTTATTGCATTTAAATATCACGTTTTTGTAAGTAGGTCTGCAAAATTATGGTAGAAAATTTCTTCACAACGATTCCGGGAATTTGCAAGTTGCAAAGTTAGCACTTGGCCACTGGCTACATTATTATTACTTAAACATATAAATTTTTTTTTTTTTTAATTTTCCGACTACTTCAGTCGGAAAATAGCTCATTTTTCGAATTTTTGGCGGAAAAACTTTTCCGACTACAGGAAAATTTTTCCGACCTACCTTTTTCCGACTACTATATATTAGTCCGAAAGTAGTCAAAATAGGTACTTTTCCAACTACTTTTCGACTATTTGGTAGTCAGAAAATAGCGAATTTCTAGCTAGTAGTGATGCACTGTATACTTATCTCTCTTGTTTTTCTTTTTTTTTTAATGTGCGGTACTCGTATTGGAGCTCTGATTAATCAAGTTTCGCATCGAGTAAGCTCATAAAAGGAAAAATTCTTATGTAAACCCGATGGACACAGTGGCGAATCTAAGTTTGGAGGTACGGGTGCGGAAACAGCCATTGACTTTGGCAAAATTGTGTTATATATTCATATATATAATACTTAAAATATTCAATAATTGACCGTAAGCACCCGGCCACTATGCTCATGGTTAATCACTGTGAATATATACTAAAATTAATGAAGCACCCACGACCTATAAATTCTGGATCCGTCATTGGTTGGGCATGATCCAAACCAAAGTGAGAAACGTGTAAAGAAATAGTAAGCAAATAAAAACTTAAAGAGAAATATCAGGCTGATTGATCAAGCATAAATCAAGTCAATTTGATTAATACTCTTATCTCTCTTCAATAAATGTCTATTAGTATTGTTTACTTTCAACAATAAGTAATATTAAGAATAAAATAAGAAAAAAGTTAATTAATATATCTTGAGAAATGGGCCAAATATTTTTACTCCGTCCGGTCCAAAATAAGTGATTTTCTGGCCTTTCTTTTGTGGTCCAAACTAAGTGATTTTCCCAGATTTCAAGAATGAATTAATTATTTTTTTCCTACATTGCCCTTTGTTTAACCAAAAATTAGATTTTAGGTCAAAGCTTGAATTTAGAAGAACTCGGGTTACTGATAATCGGAAAAGTATATAAGAAAGAGATTTTGAATAATACAATCAGAAAGCAAAAAGAACAAAGTATCTTCCAGTAATATTTTTTCGTGTCCTTACAGTTGTTTGTGACTTTCCCTTTTATAGCTGTTTTGGGAATACAGATTTTCCCTTTGTCATAATAAGACAATTATGGGCAATTAATGACCTTAAATGTTACGTTATGCAATCATATACATTCAATACATATTCTCTAACGTTTCTAGTATTTAATACTCATTAAATGCTGTATCTGGGCTCTTTTTGCTGTCAGATTCATTCCTTTGTCTCTTCTCGATCCTTGACCTTTGAATGTCTTGAATAGGTACGAGCGTTGAATTATTTGTATGACTGCTCGTACCTTCTTCATTTAACTTGCTCGTATCTATCATTGCTCGTGTCTGTTGTTGCTCGTATCTGTTAACCAACCCTAATTCTTTGACTGCTTGGTCAGTCTACGTGCCATGACACATCACCATATAAATACAACTTTTCCCAATACAGATAGTCCCCCCACTTTCCATTTATTCACCAGTTTGAATATTTGAGAAGTGGAATTCATTAAAGGAGAATTTTTGTCACCATTAATGTTCTGACAGAGTTGGCGCTTTAATTATCACTTCCATTTAATGCTTTAGACACGTGTCATCTTCTTATTGGTTCCTCAATTTCCAACACTTTTGCAGGCTGTCTTTTCGGCTCCACTGTTCATGAAGTATCAATTACCATTATTGTGATCCTTCCATTATTGCGTTTTTACTTTTGACGGTCGCCCATCAGTATAAATTCAATTTTTCCTTTCACCTTTTACCACATAAAACTTTTTCCTTGAACGCTTGAATTGTGCGAATCTCTGTTTACTTCTTTCTCTTCTTCATCATGTCTTCTTCGAACCCTAACCCTAAGAGAGTTCCTATTTTAGACAATTTTCCCAATGCTCCCGTTAGACATAGAAGAGGTGGGAGACTTCGTAGCTTAGGATCCTCTCGTGGTGGTGGTTCTGCCATGCCTTCTCCTAGCCCTGGTTCTTCCTCTAGAACTAGAGGTTCTTTTTCTCAAAAATCATCTTCTAAGAGCAAGGAGACCTCTGAACCATTACAGGAACCCTTGGTAGAAGAAATAGTCCCTAACGATTTATCTTTTCAGCATGATAGACAATCACTTCGGACCCAAATTTCTAGTTTGGATCGTGTTGATGCTTACCCCACTATGATTACAGAGATTTTAGCTCCCATAGTTCGCAAAGATTGTCACTAGAGTAATGATTTTGCCATTGTAATCCCCAATCCAAATCAGAGGATTACATTCTCTTTCGTTTATACATACCCTTTTACTCTTGGGTTTAAACCAGCTATCGACCCAGTAATTCTCGATTTTTGTCGTTTCTTCAAAGTTTGTTTAGCACAGGTTGGCCCGCTTGTATGGAGGGCTGTTGCTTGTTTAAGGCATCTGGCCAATTTAGCAAACATTGATTTCACCTTCTCCCACCTAATTCATCTATACTCTCTTAGACTTTTTCGTATGGCATCTTTACCTTAGTGGCTAGGAGTAAGAGAGTTTTGGTAAGCCCAGAAGATGATAAGGATCGTGGCTGGTATGCCCGATTTGTTGCTGCTACCACAGTTGGTTTAGTGGGTGAACAAAACGTTCCCTTCCCTGAGAAGTGGAATTTTGCACGTAAGTCTTTCATCTCTCTCGTACCTCTTTCTTTCGAATTTACAAATTTCTTTAACTTTGTTTTTTTTTTTTCTTTAGCAACCATGGGAGTTGTGGAGAACATTCCCAATTTTCGTGGTTGGGTAGATAAATTGTTGAAGATTGCTCCTATGGAGGCTAGGTCTTGGAAATTTATTTCCAATCGTCATGGTTGGAAAGTAAAGACTCACGGTATGAGTTTTTGTCTTTCTCGTATGTAAGATTTTTCTCTTTATTGCCTTAACTTTCAATTTTCTCTTTGTCAGGTTTTCCTATTCGAGGTGTTACTGCTGAAGCAGTTGCAGCTTCTCGTTTAGGAACCCAACTTTCTTTAGAAAGTGCTCAGGATATTCTTCTGAAAAGAAAAACCGCAGACGATGATAGCTCCGACGAAGAAGAGGAGGATGGTTCCTTGGTGAAAAGGCCAAGAGTTCGGAGACGTATCGTCTCTGATGAAGCTGAAGTTTCTCATCATCTTTCTCCAACCGGGCCTGTTAATCTCGTCTCTGACGATGATGTTGCTACGCCTCATGATACTCATGAGTCGATTAACCAACTTTTCATTAGTGGTTTTGAGAGTGGCGAGTTAGGACCCGTTTTGGATAAACCTCTCCTATCTTCTTCTTCAACTCCTATACCTTCTGTTCCTTCCCTTCCTTCTTCTGCCGTGCCTTTGGTTCCTTCCTTATCCGCTCCAACTTCTTCCGTGCCTTTGGTTCCTTCCTTATCTGCTCCAACTTCTTCTGCACCTCCCGTTGTTGTTTTCACTTCTTCTACCGATCCTCCTTCTACTGTCCACAATGTAGAAGCGGGTTCTACAAGCAAGAGGATTGCTATGAGGAGAGTGACTATCGAAGTGCCTGCTAACAACAGCCTTTTGAGGAAATCTGGTCAGGCGGATGTTTGGCTTGAACCTTTAATAGGTCAAATTGAGAAAGAAAAAATGAATAGCCACAGCTGCATGACTCTGATGAACGACATAGTTCATTCCACCTTGAAGGTATGCCCCTTCTTTCTTTAATTTTGCCAGAATTTTTCTAGAATTCTAATTTTTCTTTCCTTATCATTTTCAGGCCAACCTTATTGGTACAGAGCTGATGAGCAGAATTTCTTTATTAGAGAAGGTGGCACGTGACTCTGAAAAGGCTGTTCTTGATTCAGAGAGGGAAGCTCGTGACTTTCAATTGTAAGCAGCTAATTGGAAGGATCAAATTGATAGTGCTCATGTAACGACTAGACCCGTCGTTACGGGAGTTACCGCCCCGTTTTCCCCGTTTTATGCTTCTATATGTTTCATTATACGTGTTTGGAGAATTTGAAGTAATTCGGATAGAGTTTGGTTAGAAATGAGACAATAAGTCTCTTTATGATAAGGTTAGTTTGGAAAAGTCAACCGAATGTTGACTTATGAGTTAGAAGGCTCGGAATGGATTTTCGATGATTCGACCAGTTTCGGGAGATGATTTGTGACTTAGGAGCGCAATCGGAACTGAATTTGGAGGTCCGGTGTGGAATTAGGCTTGAATTGGCTAAGGTTGAATTTTGGCGAATTCCGGATGGTAAGTGAGATTTTGATCCGAGGGTCGGAATGGAATTCCGAGAGTTGCAGTAGCCCCGTTAGGTGATTTTTAATATGCGTGCAAAGTTTCAGATCATTTGGAGGTGTTTAGGTCGGGTTTTAGATCAAATGCAAGTTTCGAAAGTTTTAGTTTAACTTAGGCTTGAATCCATGGTAATTCGACGATTTTGATGTTAACGATAGTGTTTTGATGATTGCAACAAGTTTGAATAAGGTCTTGGGGTGTGTTGGTGCTATTGGTTGAGGTCCCGGGGGCCTCGGAGTGATTTCGGGTGGTTAAACGGAGAATCTTGATGTTTGTTGCAGGTCTGGTTCACCTGGCTTCTGGTATTTCCGCATCTGCGGAAAAGGAGCCGCAGAAGCGGTTCCGCAGATGTGGCTAACAGATCGCATAAGCGGTCCATGAGGGACCGGGGTAATTCCGCAAAAGCGGACGGGGTATCGCTTCAGCGTGTCCGCATAGGCAAAAACGAGGCCGCAGAAGCGGAATGGTGAGATCCGCAGAAGCGGATGGTTGGGCGCAAAAGCAGAAGGCCAAGGATTTAATGAAAAACCGCATAAGCGGTCATATGGCCACAGAAGCGGTCCCGCATAAGCGAAAGCGGGACCGCAGAAGCGAAAAATCACTGGGCGACAGAAGGGTTTTAAAATAATATTTCATCCGCGACCCTTTCATATTTTTCCTCCATTGTTGACGTTCTTAAGAGCTTTGAACAAGGAAATTCGAGGGTTTTGACTGAGAATCACTTGGAGGTAAGTTCCTTGGCCTAAATATTCGAATTCATAGTAGAAATTACATGTAAATTGTAAAAAATTCATCAAAAACGGGTCAGGCTAGGGCTTGGAAAGCTATGATGTAAAAATAGAATTTGGAGAATCAAACGAGCTCCGATTTTGGTAAACTTTATATGCACGGACTCGTGGTAAGACGAAGAATCCGTTGGTGTGATTCTCGAAATTTTTCGAGAAGTGGGCCTGGGGTTCGGGTTTTACCAACTTCGTGAATTTTAGTACTTTTCGAGTAATTTTGATTGGGTTATTTTTGTTTAACCCATATTTATGTATTCGTTGTGATTTTGACTAGATTCGACGCGCGAGGAGGTCGATACGAAAGGAAAAGGCATTGCGGACCATTCTACGGCCGGATAGAGGTGAGTAGTTGGTGTATATGATGGCCTGAGGGTTTGAAACCCCGGCTTATCACATTGTGACGCTATTGTAAGGCGTAACTCGCACCCCATGGCAGGTGCGGGATTAGTTATGACTGGGGATTGAGACTTATTCCATCCTGAACAAGAATGTTTCTATATTGGCGACTGATACGCACCCTGTATTGAATATATCTGGGCTTATTGCCGTGTTTGGGGCCTTGTGCCGATCTGTAGCATCCTTAGAGGATGAATGTCATTGTGATAGCATGCTTTGTATAATCATTGATCTCAGTCCTGTGTTTAATCACTGTTATGAAACGCTAAGTCACTTTTCCTAAAGTTAAATATCTAAAGTATATTCTTCTTAATAAATTTGAGATTGGGAAATTAATTGAATATGTTACGTGACTCATATGCATATTGTGGACTGAGTATGGATCGGGCTGCACGCCGCAGTGAATCGTATGATTATATTGTGCTTGGGCTGAAGGAGCCCCTCCGGAGTCTATACACACCCCCAGTGAGCGCCGTCGACGTTAAATGGATCAGGCTACGCGCCGTAGCGGTCATGTGCATTGCATTGCATCTTTACATTATACTTGACTGATATATTTTGAGTTGTTTTGCTGTTAGTTCGTAGTTAGGTGTTGGACTGTTAGTTTTAGCTTTACTTTGTGGCATTTCGTGGATTTCTTATCTTCAGACATTTTATATGCTTATTACTCACTGAGTCGGTAGTACTCACCCCTACTCCCTGCACCTTGTGTGCAGATT